ACGGTTGGGCGAGGGGTCGCTAATTCTCAGAGGAGTTGATTGGACGAAGGCGTGGAGGAAAAATTCAATAGAAAATTCTAACGCATTTGCGGGATTTTTGTCGGGATTGTTGTCAATTTTTCACAGAAAAAAGAGAGTTGCAGGTTTTAGGAACTGCGTTTTTTTAAAATTCGATGAGTGGTATAATATGAAATTTTGGGAATTTTGTCGATGATTGCAGTGATTCCTTAAAAGTTAGGGAAATTTTAGTTAGTGTCAGGAATTCATAAAAATGAGGGATAGTTTCCTAAAAATTAAGAATATAACCTTAACAATTGAAACTTTTTTCTGTGTGTTATGACAAATTCCGTTGGTTTTCCGTCATTTCTAATTTTGATTGACAGATTTTATAACAAAATCAGTAGCGAAGTGGTAAAACGGTACAAGTCAATTTTGACTATTGACTAGTTTTCAGTGAATATCTCGGAATCTAAGGGAGATAGGAAAATTTTTGTTATAACCTTTTTTGTAGAACCGATTGAGTACTACAACAAATGTAGTTACGAAAATTTCGCTATCTCCCTTAGATTCAAAGGTATTCCTCAAAAATTCCACTGGGAGATAAGGCGACTTAAACAGTTTTATCATTTCGCTACTGAAATGTTTAATCGAAATACTCAACACATTTTTGTCTTTTCGGCATCAATTTCTGAAGCCTTGACAATGTATTTTTATTCGTCTCTAATTACAAAATGGAGGAAAAGGAACTAGAAAATGCGCGTCGAGAAATTCCTGTAGTGAATATCTCAATGGAATGAGGTTAGCAAAAAGTAACAGCAAAAAGTAATAGTATTTTGAATAAAATTCCAGCAACTGCAGTAGCATTTTCTGTTGAATATTTTCAGACGTGAACGATTGTATAATTCAGTGACGAAGTGGTCAAACCGAGTGAATTTTACTCTTCCTTACATTTATCAATCTTCATAAGCAATCCAATGGAATGGAGTTCATTATTATACTGTTAGAAAAAAAATGAAATTTCACGGACAGTTGACTACTAATTTTCAGGACAATGACATTAAATGCGATTTAGTGAAACCTGAAATCATGAAATTTCAGGTTTCACTGAAAATGCAGTAAAATTCTAGAATTTTAAGAGGCATACAGACGAGAATTCCTTAATTTATTTGAATTTCCAATCTAATATAAATATCGAGTGCCAAATTACATTGAATTTTCAGTGAAATCTGAAATTTCATGATTTTTCCCCCTAAATCGCATTCAGTGTCACAGTCCTGAAAATACAAGAATGTATTTATCGGAATTTTCTGGTTTTCTATTCATTTTCAGGAAAAAATGGAACTGAAATTTACAGTTCTCTTTGATTTTTCCACGAAATTCTGAATTTTCAGTGCCGAAATTCCTTGAAATTTCAGTGGTTATTAAGTTGGATAAAAATTTCGAAAAAGTGTACCGTAAAAGTCAGACAACAATTTTTAACAGTGTGATCCCACACTTTTTCTCCTATTTAAGGTGATTTAAGGTTGCCCCACGATTATTTGACTTGTTTGGTAATTTTTCTCCAACTTTTTTCTCCCTGTGCAGAAAATTATTTTGACGTTTCCCAACGAACAGCACTTATTATCCTGAAAAACGCCCATTCATATAAAATGTAGAACTCCACTCCCGACAGACTGGGGCAAAATGGGCCGTAAAAAGCCCATTTAATAGATTTCACCGAATATTCTCTCGGCACCCCGTTCCTGATAACTCGTCACCACTTGTCTACGGAATGAAAACCCCGAAATGAAACCTAAAAGAACAACATTGAAAATTACATAAATAGGTACGAAACTTCCGCAGAAGTCAGATTGCACGCGAAGATCGTTTTGGTACGACCTTTAAAGCCGTCGTAATTGACTAAGTATTGTACCTGGTGTGGGTGACGCGAAGTGGTCCCGACCGTTCGATTCGCGCCGCACATGAAACTATCAACTAATCACCAATTACCTCTGTTTATTGGTTTATTTTTTTCATTCAATATTGGTTCGTCCCCCATACAGCAGACTACCCTCATCCGAAATATGAATTCTGGATATCTGTGCATTTGAGGCTCGCATGATTGTGCTTCCTCATGGGACTAATGGCGATGCGATCGAACGGACTATCCAAGATTTTTATCTTTATTCGCCCTGACAATAGTTCTTTAGGACTGATCAAAAGAGCAATAAGCTTACCACAAACGCTGCACATTTTGACATAAATTTTTCCCCTTTTTTATTTGTTGCAAGCTCGACACGAAATACATAATTTCATTTTTTTAAATCAAATTTTACACTTGAAAAACTAGTGTCTGAAGTTGAGACAGTTTTGGCCATTTTTTGGAGACGTTTGTGTTGCCAAATTTGGTGCCTAATGTCTTAAATTAAGACGATTCAACGACACTAGTTTTTGCAGTGTATTCCTCGAGGGAGGGATTCCACCAATGGTCTCTCCCCCCCTCTCTACACACATCATACATCAATTTTCCACTTTTCAATCTCACTATGTGCTACATTGACTTCATTCTTTAGTCCCCCAAGTATTCCTCGATATTCTCATCCTCATTTTGACTCACGAGTCGGCAAGGAGAAACTATTGAGAGCGCGATCAGCGACAAGTTCCCATGAGAAATAAAGTAATACATGAATGATGGTAGAGTTGTGGGGATGATGAAGGGGACTCGTAACGCATCGAGACCGATTTTTTCACCCTTTAGTCAGCCCCGATAAATATCGAACAAACTACAGATACAAAATTTTTTTATTCAGTGGCGTCCCGTGTCATTGGTATGTGTGGACATGACAAGTGCCGATTTGACAAGCTCGATGGTTTTATTATCCTCTTCACTGTTGAAAAATTTGTAGTAGAGTTTCTGGAAAGACCTCGAAATTTCAGGAGTCCGTTTTCAATTTTTACGGCTTCGGAGATTATTTGCGATTAATTCTGCAGGAAAATTCAAGTTTTCTCGCTATTTTGGGGTGTTACAGGGAAATTCTTTTCATTTACGTAGAAAAATACTGGGAATTTCAGCTGAGGACATGAGTGATTGAAATGAGTTCAGTGAAATCATTAGCTTATTTACTTCATAGTGAAAATTTTTTGATTTTTACTTCTTACAGACTGACAGTTTTCGAGAAGTGACAGTTTTACTTAAAATTCAGGAAATGGTGAGAATTTTTTTTTCAAAGAATTATAATTTAAAAAAAATAATGGGAATTGTAAATTCCAGTTCAATTATTCAATAAAAATGGGTAAAAATGAGAAGATTTCACATTTTTCCTGCATGCGAACGCAGATTTACACAGAAATGTACAGGATTCCAATTAACAATTGGAATTGACAAATTAATTTCAATAATATTACTAATTTATCTCATTGAAAATGTTTTAACTATATAAAGTAAATAATCCATTCATTTGATTCAAATACCCCATTTTTCAGCCTGTAATAAGTAGAAGAAACGTGAACGTAACGTCCACTTCCCGATTTTTGTGATCGCAGCCAATCGTACTAATTGCAAATCACATTATTGCCTTCAAGAAATGACTCTACGACTGAAAATCCCACGATGTCATTGATTTCACAGGTCGACTCTATCATCATTCAATTCTTTCCCGAAAATAATTTCACCCCCCAATTAAAATATCGTTCAATTTATTTTTAATTTCCACCGAAACCTCAAAGATACGGACTCTCTTCAACTTTCAAAGGTCTTTCATCAAAAAATCTAGCCAAAAAATTCCCAACACTGATTTATGTATTTTGTCCCTAGTTTTCCTTTACAAATCTTACAAGAAAATCTCGGGTGTCTTCACGTTTATTCAGGGGTGACTCTTTTAACTACACTCAACCCCTCAGGCCAAGTTGGCCTGAAGTGCGCAAACATGTTTCAGTAGTTTTAGTCCTGGGCTTCAACTAGCAAATCCACTTACGTGCCAAGAATCTAACGTAAAGTCGGAGGATAGGGGACAAGTTTGCGCCTTTGATCAGACTCGTTCTACGTATGGATTCTCCCTAATTCAAAAATCCTCAAGAAATAAAATAAACAATCGGCAAACATACGCACAAGTGTTTGATTGTCCATTCATTGACGCATCAGCAGGGTGTGAAAATGTCAAGGTTCATTATAATCTCATCCTTCTCAAAATAATTTACACGACGATAAACCCAGAACAAAAATAATCCATACAGGTCCTCCGTATCTCTTTCTATAGATTATTACAAAAATAAGTTTCTCGTTATCATCAAGCGCAAGTGTACTCGGGTGACTCTTCAATGATGACTAATGAGGTAAAGGAACCTACTGTATTCTCATTAAGCAATTATCCTTACTCTGTTTGTTCACTTAAAACGAATAGAGAATCTCTCTACTTTGAATTTTTAAGGGGAGACTACTGTCAATGTTTAAATTCCCGGACTATTGGAGTTTGCTTTATCATGCATTGAAGATTGATTATATATATGGACAAACGAATAATTAGTCCAAAAAAATTAATTGTCTATTGTTCGTTTACCCCGCGGACGCTTGAAGTGTTAAAAATATATTTTTAACACTAGTCCAGGGCCTCCAATTTTGGAGTTACAGAGATTTTTTTTCAAAATTTTTGAAAAAATGTGTAGAATAGCAATTATCAGTTAGTTTTTTAAAAATTTAACTCTTACACAGCTAATTTCTTTTTTTTTTTAATAAAAAAAAATTGCACCATTCAAGTAAAATCATCAGAAAACTGATCCTAAAAATATTTCAAATATATTCTCAATTCTTTCAGAAACATTTTTCTGTGTATTTTACATGAATGGTACAATTTTTTACATTAAAAAAACAATTGTCCACATTTTTCAAAAATTTCAAAAAATACATTTTCACATTTGAAGGGTCTACGCGGTAAACAAACAATAAACAATTAATCATTTTGCGCTAATTATTCGTTTTTAGAAGTATCTAATCGATCTTCAATGTATAAAAAATCTCACTCCAACCGCCCGCGACTTTTAAAACTCATAGTAGTCCCCCGCAATAAAAAAAAATATTGAAAAAATTCACCGAATAACAACACATGAGAAAAAGTTGTTCGATGACTCCAGCAAACTCCAGAATACAATACTAATGCATCATAATAATCCCCTCAAACGGACGATAAAAAGAAGTTGTGAATTCATAATGATGAAAATATTGTTCTACAGTCAAAAACATCCGGGAGGATTTTCCTCACTGAAACCTCACTCTCTCATTTCTCATTCTCTTTCATATGCCACGCGTCCAGGCACTGTGAACAACAACAATAACAACAACAACAACGTCTCAAAGCCGTATTCCTTGCTGCAATATTATCCTTTCCCCACTTATTTAATAGGACATCGATGGATGCTTGGCATTTTACCGAAAGACTAATGATATGTGTGTGTGCGAGGAAAATGAAGGCGGACATGAGGTGTCTTAATCACTAAATGCCATAGGTACCAAAAAGACAATGATTCATTCCCTCATAACGCCGATTTAGTTTGTCTCATTTATCTTCCTTACTAGAACTAACAAGCGTACACAAATGTCTCTTCCCTTAAATCTATCAATTATCGATTAACCTATCTGTGCCTGGTCGCTATCTAATCAATTATTTTCACTTTAACATGCTTGACTAACGAATCAATCGAAATGACCAAGTAGAACCATCAAACCATTGTCTATCCTGTCACCCATCTCTCTCTCTCCCCATTACCACCTCTCATTAAATTTAATGATATTTTCTCATGTTAATCGATAAACCGAGGTCCAGCCTCGGCATGCGTCTGGTGTTTCAGTTCAGCCTCGAGTTGACGTAAAGAGTCTGTATTTATTTCGTTAGAATTCACAGTTGACATCGGTGAGACAGAAAGCCGAGGCAAGAATCGGCGTGAAACAATAATTTACGTATAAAATAATTTAAATCTCTCTCGTTAATCATAATCATTCTAATCTACCCTAAATCATTTATCCACGCCGTCTTTTGAACATCGGCGCAATATTGTTTTTAATATATATCTTTAATCATCTCATCGTCAAACCGGTGATGATTCATCTTACGGACAAATTCAACACCAAATTTATAATCTATTTATTGATCTATCATTGTTTCACTTAAAATTCTCTTAATATTAACGTATTTACGAATTTATGCATCATCTTATCCACTCACAATTTAATGCTATATGTATATTTAATAATGTATTTCGTGTTTTTAATATCTTTCAATGTATGTATAGGTGATATGTACCAAATGGAAGATTCAAGTTTTACCACGCGAGTCATTCAATAACTCCATATATATCTGTCGCCATCCACCGCCATCTCTCGATATGCTCAGAACATACGTTTTTTTCTTCATTTATGTCTGTTCACATAAGAAAATTAGGCATCGTGAAAAATATCTCTCGTGTCACGGTTTCAATATCATTTTATCATCGCCTCAAAATTACACCTGACACTATTTATTCCTTTAATTTATTTAAACTCTTTACACGGGGACCTGATTTATAATTACAGCCTAAGCTACATTTTCTAGGTATTCTGCAATTCCATCAGCACCTACGTTTCATCAGCGAGTGATATTCCCAGTCGTTTTGTGTCCCACATTGGTTGACAGACATTTTTGTGTCTTTATCCGCTCGGATTGTTTCACCAAGTTGTCTGACCATTCGATGCATCCATGTGTGGCTTCATGGAGTGCCCTAGATGATACCGCTGATGGTTAGCAAGCTTACCAGAAGGAGTGCAGCAGCACGAAGCTCATCAGCGCCAGCTGATACACTGGAGGCTATAGCTCCATTGCAGGCCTCGGGCGTCCGATCTGCACAGTTAACGAGTGTTAGGAAAATTTGGGGAGGGGTATGAGATTTTTCATATTTAATCGGTTAATCGCTGAGGGTTGGGGGTGGAAAAATTGTATCCTGATTTTTAGAGGTGAAGGGGTCAGGGTATTTGGAGAAATAACAACAACGTTGATTAAATTGTCAAAAGAAGCGAAAGTTCGCTAAATTGCTATTATTATTATTATTATTATTATTTTATTTTTTATTTTTACTATTTACGCCGGAAACCCTTTCCGGGTTTATTCAGCGAACTACGCCACTACCTAAGCATGCGGCTGTCGCCAATGTTATGCACTGCATCGCATTTGCCCCCTCGCGAACGAAGGAAACACAGGGAATCCCCGAAAACCTGCGTCGGTACAGTCGGTTACTCTATTGACAAGCTCCCGCTCACCCAGAGCCGAGGTAGGTCGAGCCCTCTAGGGGGAAGTCGGCCCAGGTGAGCCCTTAACTTCTTTTACAGATGTTAAGGGACCTTCTCAGCCGGATCTGAATCCCAGGTCGAAGATCTAACCCCTGCGAAGAGAAGTTAAAAATCCACCCCACCTGGGATCGAATCCCGACCGCCTAGTCGTGAAGCCGAACTATACGATTTAACGACCGCGACCACTGGACGTCGGTCTAAATTATTTTAGCTTCCTCAGGCTTTGACGTAATCAATGTCTTGTGATGTTATTATCAGTAAAGAAAATTTCAGCGTTGGATATCACTCGCATTATGTACGTTAAGTGTGACAAAAGCACGGAGAGAAATATTCAATAAAAATTATGTATCTTTTTCGTAAATCCGGAGCGAAATGTGATTGTAGAAAATTTTACGGAATTGTCACGGAATTTTTCCAGAGCGTTCCGTAATTTTTATCTGAATCTTGTGTGAAAAATTACGATATCGTCACTTAAATTTTCTGAGTCGATTCCGTAATCGGTGAGCGAATTGTGAGTTCCGTAATTTTAACTGACGATTTCTTTCCGTGAGCTCAACACTGTAACAAAACTCCAATCAACCGGCCAAAAATCTCGAGTGTTGTCGTACGAGTGTTTTGGCGGGTTGAATTTTGATACGGTGCTGAGCTTTTATCACACTTAAGGTGCATGATGCGAGTGATAATTTCCAACGCTAAAATAATATTTAGTGATAATAACATGACTAGACATTGATTACGTCAAGAGCCTGAGGGCCTGGGGCTAAAATAATTTAACAAAACGTCGCTTCTTTTGACAAATACCCTGATTCCTTCACCTCAATTTATGAATATGGAGATGATTGAAAACATCAATCCTGATTTTTATTATTTTCCTGTGGTCTGTAGAGACCGTTAGAAAATTACTCTTTAAATTTCGAGGAAATAATCTGGAAATTTTTAACAATTACTAATTTACTGGCAATTATAACGAGATGTTGAGATGTTGTTGACGAATCAGTCTATTTCTGGGATGTTTAATCTATATTTTAGAAATTTCAAGTGTCAGGTCCATACGACAATGAAAAGATCTATCAAAAATTTGGTTGAATTCGATGTTTATTTGTCATTAAGAGTTTGAAAATTCAAGGTATTATCGAAGTATCAACAGAGCGAAGAAAGAGTTTTTATTTTTAGGAACATGTCATTTATTTTAAGGAACGCACCTCTGATTATCGGAAATCTATCACCACATTTCAGTGATAACAATACCAGATGATAGATTCCTGAAAATCAGTAACGTGTCCTTGAAAACCAAAACTTTTCTTTCTCCGTGAATGATCGCTTAACAAAAGGAAATCAATTTGGTTGAATTTCCAAGATGAATCAGCAATTTCCTCAACGATTTGATTGCGAATTTAATTAAAATTTACACTTCTGAAAATTCACAGGCCACTGTAGCTTTCAATTCTCCCAAATAATTTCATAAATTCTCCGAGAGTCTAATCAATAATATTCACAGACTTTCTCATGATTTTCCATAGAAAGAATAAAAATCAGCAAAAGTTGTGACACATCGAGTAAAATTCAAAATTCTCTCGATTGCCTTTGCTAAAATTCGTTGCCTTAAGCATTTAAAAACGGAAAAAAATATGAACTTCGCCTGTTTACGAAGCAAACAAGGAACCGAAGAATTTCATTGTTGAAAGAACAGATGACCAGATAAGCGTAGAAAAAAATCCGAAAAAAATTAGAAGCTAGTTTTTCACTTTTGCAAGAAATCCCCGTTGAATTTCAAGAGGGTAAGGGTCAGTGGTTGACTGTTTCGACATGGAGTACCTCATACAATACATAAAAATAGGGAAGGTGTAAGAAAGTTGGGTGTAAATAGCAGTGGAAATAGCGGGAGAAATGAGCCCAAGAGGTAGAGTGACAGAAGATGGATGAAGTGGAAGAGAAGCAAAAGAGTGTGCTCGTTATAACACGGACCAGGTCAGCTTTAATTAGGACGCTCGTTACTTCTCCTTTTTTTATCTAGACCATTCTACTCCCTTTTTTCACACTAGGCCTCTGTCTGGGTGTCTTTGACAGTGCCTGAGTTTTTGTACTGCCAAATACGTCACGATGGACACTTGCAATGGTTTACATTTGCAGGTGATGCTGAGTGAAAGGTGGAAAGGTGTCGATGTGGAATCAGGAATAGATATGTCAGTCATCAGCGTTTGATCGATTTCCTCGTTTTGGTGGGAAAAGGCCACGTGAGAAGATAGACAATTGAATAATGGAGCGATGGGTGGACTCTAAATATCACACATTGGAAATATCACGTGAAAACATTACATACGGGGATTTAGATTTGGAAATAGCGCGAGGTTGAAATAGCTTTGGTTGATAGACTCAGATATTGAAATGTCATTTATTAAAACGCTATAAAGTTTATCAGGTGAAGAATTAATTCTGTAGTGAAGTGGTAAACTAGGATTAGTGCAATTTTTTTGGAAAATTTTTTATTGCTTGAATCAAAAGTTCTCTCAAAGGTGGTCAAATTTTTCAACTCACCTGAGAAAGTCCTATGCGCTTATCCTGGTTTACCCCTTCCCTACAGAATTGGAATGAGTCAAATTTAGAATTTTCCTTGTTTGCGAATTTAGCCCGGAATCGAGGGATTTTTTGAGAAAATGTCAAGCTCGGTGGCTGACATACTGTGATAATTCAAGAGCTGTCGAGATATGACTTAATTACAGAACTCATTAAATTGTCACTGAGATGATATAATCATTTTTAGTCTTTCCATATGCATTCCCTTTTAATTCATAATCAGATATTCAACTCCGGGAATTTGAGATGATTTCTACAGGGTAGGAAATTTGAAGATTTCCGATGGTTCACGAAATGAGTTGATAATATTCAATAACAACAAAATCCCAATTATTTTATGAATCTTCTTTCAAGAAGTAGACTTTCTAAATTATTTTCCCGCGAAAAATTAACTCATTTTTCGTAAATAAATGAATACATAACGACCATAAATAGTATGCATAAGCTACTACCGAACTCAGACGCACGTTCCCTTTCCTAGTCAAATAAATTATGGAAATCATCGGAAATCAATAGAAATCTTAAACTCATTTAAATCTTAAATGAAGTGATTTCTGAAATAATTGGAAATCATCAATAAGTGTAAATCTAAATTGATGTTGCAGTGTCAACTCTACAATTTTTGTGGTGGTATCGGTGCGTTCGGAACCACCCAGTCCCGAAATGTGACGTTATGAAGTTTTTGACATTCTTACGTATTGTAACGTTATGTAGAAAACTGCCACTGTCGACAGATGCCCCCCTCTGGCCCCGAAATCATGATTTCTCCAGTGATTTCTTGAAATCAAGAAATCATTGGAATCTACTAGAAATCATGGAAATCGCGGGAAATGAAAAGAAATCACGATTTCTCAGAAATCGCAGGAAATCATCTGATTCTGGAAATCACTGAGTCACTCGATTGAGGAGTGACCACACGGAGAGAAATATTCAAGAAAAATTACGGAACATTTCACGTAATCCGCAAGCGAGAATCGTTTTCAGTGAATTTCTATAGGAATATAAGAGAATAAATCTGAAACGTTCAGTAAATTTTCGGGTCTGTCACCGAAAAAATACAAAAAAGTCACGTAATTTTTCTGGAAGTTGTAAAATCTAACAGAAACTTCAAGACTTATTATGCCTCAGAACATGAAAATTCTTGGATGTTTAAGAATTTTTACGAAAAGTTCCAGAAAAATTACGGAACGTGTTGTTAAAATCTCCCCCTCACGGTGACTCATGGCTAGCCGTGAGGCGTCGGACGGATGAGTAATTTTTACGGAACAGATCGTAGAATTTACGTGACGATTGACACTTTTTATTGAATTTCACTTCGCTCCCAGATTACGTTTCGAAACGTAATTTTTACGTCTTTTTTCTGGTAATTTTTATTGAATATTTCTCTGCGTGCAGCCCCTCGATGGGACCAGAATCTTCGATTCAACGTACCTGGTACACCCTCCAATCGAGGTAGAAATTCATTCCAGAACGCACAGCTCGTTGATCGAGGTCCTATCCCCAATTTTCCAGTATCGTCACCATTGAAGATGTAATACTTTGGCTCGTCGCGTGTGTAAGCCGGCCAATCGTCTCCCTCGGTTGGCTTCCTGAAACACGCAATTTCAGTTTTATGTAATATGGCCACTCACATACCAGTTCTGGTCATTGTAAATTCAGGCTGCAAATTGATTATTCACGTTTCGGGTGCTGCATGGGGCAAGTATCGTGCGGAGTAATTCATGGGGATATTGAATGGGTGGCTTGTGTGTTAGGGACGACGGGGGGCCGGTGCCGGGGGAAAACATGGGGGTGGGCTTTAGGGGTCTCCTGAGGATTCGATGGCGGCAGGGTCGTTTTTAAGTATGCGTGTGTCTCAAAATATCCTTGTGTACACATTTGTAGAGTTAGCGAGGTTTTATGGGATTATTCACTGGTGCTGTGAGGGAATGTAATGCGTGGTTGAGTAAAATATTGTTTTTTACGAGGTACAGAAAGAGAAAAGTTGGAGGAAAATTACATGGAAAATCTCGGCAGATTTTATTGGACGAAAGATCATTGCGGAGTAAAATGGTTTTCAAAAAGATTGAATTGTACAATTTTTAAAAAAATTATATAAATGAATTCTTCAAACTTTCTTTTCCTAGAATATTCATGTGATTTCTCTATGACTGGTGCTATTGTTAGCCATATGACTGTACTTTTTGAATACTATCTATGTACACAACTCTGTAGCCCAATATGGCATTATTATACCGAAGTGTCGTTTTCTTTTCATTTAATTTACTTTATTTTAGTTGTTGAGGGGTTGGGAGGGGAGCAAAAGGTAAAAACCCGAAAGGGTATAGATAGAGACAATAAAGAATCCTATATAAATGAACTCCTGGTATGAATATTTCTCTAACCCGCAAAAAGTCAAATTCAAAACGCTCCAAAATTGTCGAAATTTTGTTTTCAACTTTTCGATTTTCACTGGTGCTGTGAGGGAAAGTAATGTGTGGTTAAGTAAAATATTGTTTTTTACGAGGTACACTGATAGAACGATTCATTTATTTAAAACGAAATTTATTAACTATTAACTAATAGTAGAGTTGAATATGACCAAATGAATATTCGTTGATAGTTAACGAATGGTTCATTTGAAAGGTGAAAGTCGAGTCGAACAAGGCTCCTCAAATAGGCATTTCTTAACTATTAACAAATGAACATTTGATGAGACCGTATAGACTCTCATCTCCAACAAAATGCATTCGTTAACAATAACTAATCTTTTCTATCAGTGTATATGAAGAGAAAAGTTGGAGAAAAATTATACAGAAAATCTCGGCAGATTTTATTGTACGAGAGGTAATTGGGGAGTGAAATGTTTTACAGAAAAATTAAATTGTAAAATTGTTTTTTTTTAAATAAAAAACCAAAGTTCTAGTGTAAATTATGCTCTGAACCCCCGAAAACGTCAAATACTGCATTTCCTTTCCAAAATTGTAGAAATTTGTTTTTCAAGTTTTCCTGAATATCCACGATCGGGATAAGTTTTGCAACAAAATTCCTTCCGTTGTTACATAACAGAACTGCAGAAAAATTTTCGACAATTCTGAAGCACTTGGGACATTACGGCTGAAGATTTCATATAAAAACCAGAGAAATGCACGTGTTACCCAACATATGCAGAATAAATTCGAGAGATCACGAATAAAGATTCACCTGAGACTCTCTTTATCGCTCGTGCAATTTCCACCGTTGTCTTACGGTGACATTGGCGGATGGACGAGCGATACGCGGAAGAACGAGGGCAATGGTCAGCGAGAAGCTATCATTGCCAGAGGTTCTTTTTACCGGTCCCAAGCGAGCGGAAGAAGCCTTCCGAATAAAAAAAAAACCCCGTTGATATGCTTCCTCAGCTTTTTCCCGATATTCTGTTCCACATTTTTCGAATATTCCGCTTCAAATATACCAACCAGCGGTGAGCTCAGATAACTAAGAGTCTCGAATACGCAGTTCATTAACAATTCAGGAACCCTCGAAGAGCGTTGGAAAATAATTCCGCTATTTCCACAGTTTTAATCGAATTGATCATTAGTTATGCAAAGTGTATTCCATCGATCGAGTTATCAGGGCACCGCAAAGTTGAAAGAAACGCGTAGTTTAAATTTAATATGCAGAACTGAAAATTTAATTTACCAGTTCTGAAAATATAAGCGTTAACTTGAGCAAAAGTTTCGAGTATTTTCAGTTGAATTTTCCAACGATATATTCCGCTGTTCGAAAAATGTATAACGACGGAAAAAAAATTGGATTTAATCCCGCAGTCCTGTGCATACACGATTATCGGGTGTGAAAATATTTGAAGAGCGGATTGAAACATTTTTCCAGCAACGCGTAATTATTGATAATGTGGGTTTAACGGGATATTACCGGGTGAATGAGTGAGCTAATTCTGCTTTTTCTTCACTCCTCTCTTCATATTAATGTTTGGGGACACATGGAGGATGAAGAGAAAAAGAAAAACTCGATAAATTTCCTTTGATGTCTCAGGGATTGTGCACTGAGAGAAAAATATCAGTCTTCTGACTATATTCCATCACCATCGAATTATAGTCAAAAAGTCCTCAACAATTTTTCATGGGTTACGGTAACTATGGTCGGAGAAGTAATTACTACAATGGAATGTAGTCATTGCAACTATTTTATAGTTCTCCTCACGATAGATTTGTCGTCGTTACTTTTGAACGTGGGTTAGTTTAACTGCATTTTGATTTGCAAAAATTACGCTTGTGAAGTTACTATAATGTTATGTGCCGCATACAAAAAAAAATCGTATCGTTCACCAAAATGCCTCAACTACTTTCTTATTGTAAATCGAACTTCAGATTTTTCTCTCAGTGTAGAGGGAATGCAAGGAGTTTCTAGAAAATTCGAGGGAATTGAAGGAGTTTCTAGGAAATTCGAGAGAATTCAAGGAGTTTCTAGGAAATTCGAGAGAATTGAAGGAGTTTCTAGGAAATTCGAGGAAGAAGGAAAGACCATGGAGGTATCCACGTACAATTACAGCTGTATCAAAGATACAGCCGCCTGCAATTTTTTATTTGTCAATAGCATTAATTTCTTATTCAAGAGGTTAAACGAAAAGGAAACATTTGACCCTCAGGTGACCCTTTGAAAAACCTGGAAACCTCCTGAACGGGGCACAACTAGAATAATTCAGTCAGGACTTTTCAGGTCAAAATATTCGACTCTAGTAAAGAGAGAAAGGGGAAATTAAGGATAAAGTCCAATGAATGTAAACATATGAAGGAAGTAGGATATGTGTACAGCATAAGGCCATATAAGGGACATAAAAACAGTCGTAAAGACTAGATATCGGAAAATATAAACTCCTTACCGGACTCAGGGGGTCGGTTTTATCTCACCAACGTGTCTCTTCATGGCCTCGCATGCCCACCGCCCTCCTTTCCTCATTTATTCTCGAACCACAACCCTCTACATTCCCCTTTGACTCATTCGCCTCTTTCTTTTTTCCCCTTATTCCTTCATCCGGCGCACTTTATCAAATCTAGAATGGGAACTGATGCTATCGGCAAAGTGTACGTATTTCGTCATTTGTCCTTGTGCATCGATCCAAAAAAATATCCACGCAATTGTTCGGAATAAAAACGATAAAGTTTTCAGGAGATTGTTTGCTTCGTACTGGTAACTGTGAATCTATCGAACAGGACTATTTTCAATTCTGTGAGGTACGTGACGTAAATGCACTTGGAGGCGGGTTTAATGCTTCATTTTATTGCATCATTTCGGGAGAAATCGGAGTACGAGATTTTCGTCACATATGACACATGCGCGAAGAGAAAAACATGGATTTCCGAATATATTTCTTGGGATTTATCCACATTTGATCGACGGTTGCATGACATTTTTTCGTGTCGGGACTCTAAATTGAGATACAATTGTGCGGGGATTTCTGATTTATATTGAGAATTTAGGAAGATTTTTTTTTCAAACTAAACGACAAAGGCTGGAATTTTGGAATTTTTGGGAGAATTGAACGTCGTCTTAAGGATATCCAAGTACTTTGGCCTTTTTTCTCTAGGGAAATGCCTTTGGATTTTGTAGTCTAACGTCCATGCTTTCATTTGAGCCCGATTTAACCCTAAGTTTCCGGATATTGGACAATGATTTTATTATTTAAACTTCACGGGTCTGAATTTAAATCTCAATATTGAACCGTTAGAAAACATTTAAAAAATCTGACAAAAAATGATAAAGTTTACTTTTGGAGAATGATTGATGAAATAATTTAAAAATTGCAATTTTTGAAAATGGCGAGCATTTTTTATAAATGTTTTATGAATGATTAGTTTCCATCATAAAAATCAGTTGTTTGGAAGCATAACAAATTTATTAATATTCAAAATTTTACCGGGAATCGATTTCATGCCTAGAAAAATAGATTTCCGGAAGTTTCTACAATTTAAATTATTTATTTATAAACAACGAATGTTAAAACATATATAATTCTCTGCAAAATATAAATTTAATGACGTTGATTATTCATGATTTTTTCCTAATTTGACTCACGCGATCGAATTGACAAATTTGATGATTGAAAATGGCTCCATCTATAGTGTGATCCGTACCAAACTATAAAAGTTACTAGGATATCTTTAATGGAATTTTGAATGGATTAAAAATACACAATTTGATGAAAAAATCAATAAAAAGTAACAGTGCTAGCCTAATCATTCCACGAAAATTAATAGAAATTAGGAAAATTCAAGTGAACATACACGGAGAGAATTATTTTAGAAAAATTCTAGTGCTAGCATGAGAAAAGAGGCGCAAAGTGACGGCTGGGAAAAAATTTCAGTGCCGGCACTAGAAATTTTATTGGGGAAAATGTGAATTTTTCCCCGTACTTCTGTGGAAATTCCACAGAAATCCCTAGAAATTTTACCAGAAATACCAAGAAATTTTACCTTAACAGCACTAGAATTTTTCACAGCCGGTGGATTGTGATTTTTTCCAGTACTCGTACTAGAATTTTTCTAGAAAATTTCTCTCCGTATACTCTTAGAATTTCAATTAATTGAAAATTCAGTGTAATTTAATACCGAATATACGTGTTTTCACTTGATTTCATTTCAAAATCTTCCTTCTGTACACCCACCCAGAAAAATGATTCACTTGAATCAAATGAATTCGGTTTAGGTCTATTGAATCGTTCACTTGATTCTAATACAAGATTAATTGATTTAAAATAATTGAATCATTGATTTCATTGAATTAAAAAAATTGAAATAAATATGAGTAACGAGTTTAGCAATCTTCAACAAAAGATTGTTGAAATGAGTGCAAAATTTTCAAAAGTGTCATTTGCCTTGCTGCAGAAATCTCTTTAAAACCCCCATAAGAATAAAAAATTTTAACATAAAAATGCAACCAAAAACTGCATTTTTCGTATTACGACCGCGGAATCGATACTCAAGACCACGACAAATGAATTCCTTTCTTGTTAAAATATTTCCCCTTCATGTGGTTTCACTGCTATAACCCTTTTAAGGAATCACAAAAAAAATTGCGCACCGTTTAAAGAACGGCCACCATGGAATAACAAGAAGAAGAATAATCCGAGAAGGATACTAGGTTCTATTCGTCCCAAGTGAGTTCCCCCAAACTCGTGAAACAGAAGGAAGGATTAAAAAAAGCGAAAAGGACTGGGTAACTGGGGTAACCGGGTAGGTTGTAATTTCGGCTCCCCTGAGAATCTTCGCTGTGCGCGGCTGAGCGGAGCAGGGGCTTACTCACTTACCCTGAAAATGCGAAATTCGAGTAGGTTAAAATCATCTTCATGGAGAGTTCACGTTCCTTCTCCTCGTACTTCAGGGACATGTTGAGCGGATGACCAAATACGTATTCCACCTCATCGCCGTGAATGACACCCATCCACTTGCCCCACAAGTTTGTGCTCGATCTCTGAAACATTGAATAACAAGTCAAACATTGAAAATTCAGACATCAAATGTAAAATAAGTGGCATTGAATTAAAAAAGAACGTCATTTTCGTCCTCATCTCTCGCGTCTCGTAAAAATAAAGTGCATAATACCATTGACATGAAGGAAAATGAGTCGTTACTGCGGCAGTAGAATGCATGATGAGGGCGCAGAGAATATTAAAAACACATGAAATGAAAAGGGAAAAATTCCGAGGGAGAGGAGATAAAAATGCGATAAAAATCGCGTATAAATTCTCTCAAACTCCCCCAGTTCTTAGTGATCTATAAAATATGTTCACGAATTGAGAACGCTCAATTTGGAAGGGACGAAATGATTTGGTCGAGTATACTGTCCGGAAAAAGACGTAATATCAGCAAAATAATTTTTTCATGGAGAAAAAATGTGATTTTTAAGCTTATCTTCATAATTTTCAGGAATTTAGAAATAATTGTTGGATATTAACTAGAATTTTGGTGACGATGTAATTGGAAATTAGTGATAATGTCGCTGAAAATTGTTGACAAAAATCACTGAATTACCGAATTTTACACACACTGAATTTTACAATCGAGAATTTGTAATATTTGGGGATAAATTCTTGAAAATCAGTGACATGTGAAATTTTAAGTCTATGTTCACTGAGAAAAATTTTCCAGAAAAATTAATGTGCTAGCCCCACAAACGGGGTATAATTTGCAGCCTTGAGAAAGCAATCAGCTGCGTCTGAAAAATTATGGTAATTCTTCGTAGTGAGCTAGTGAAACAGATCTATTCATAATGGGTTTCAGAGAAACAATCAATGCTTTTCACGATATAGTAATACTATACGTAATGGTAAGTCAATATTTTCTCTTCGAATTGAGATAATATTCTTTAAATGACACACTAATTTCTAATAACGATTGCAATTGAATTCTCAATGTTGTGGGGTTTAATTGAATTTAAGACCACATTTAAGAAAATTCAATAAAATTTAGTTTTTCATGGTGAACTATTATTAATCTTTCAAGGACAGCTTGAATTTTAGACCTCATTATGAAAATTGAATATTAATTTGAATTGAATTTTCAATAAATTGAGAATTCCGTAGAATAATGGCCTGAATTTTTATTACTTTCAATGATTTTGGTTGTCGTATGGACCGGGAAATTATAATTTCATTGAATATTCAACGAAGTTACCTGATTTTTTAGTCACAAAGTACAGATAAATTTTATGAAAATTTAGTGTTGTTGAAATTTCAATTTTTTGAAATTTGAAATTTCAAGGTTAATTTTCTAACAGTGCAGGTAAAGTTTAGAATACAGAGATGAGGGTATTTCTTCTCTTGGATTTGAGAAATATCTGGAGATTTTCCTTTGCATGAATTCTGCATTCATTCAATACGAATGTCCCTGATTCTTGAGTCTCGTACCTTCTAGTTTTTTCAGATATTTTCTCGAGTTCTCACACGAAAAAAACAATTTCTTGAATCGAGAAATTAATTTATGCACTTAGAAAAAAATGTAACTTCATGGAATAGTTCTATCAAATTGATTTTAGGGAAAAATTGCTTATCAAATTCCAAGTTTCGCACAGAATTCAAAGGAATTCATAATTTTCACGGACGATAATTAAACTGGAATTAACAGCTTTCATGGACTTTCAAGGACGAGACGCTCTGAAATTGCAGTGAAAATATCACTTAATTAATTCCATCCAATGAAGAGATTCCCATTGCCGTGAAATTGAGAACTTTTTACCCAAAACTTCAATTTTCATTGTGAGGCAGGAGAAGAATATCAACAGGAAAGAAATAAAAAAGAAGCTCAACCAGAAAGAAGAGGAGATAAAACTGCCATAAAAATCTCAAATAAATTCCTGAACATCTCCCAATTCCAATTCTCCTAAAAAATCAGTTCCCTATGAAGACACCGACATTTATGATGCCCCAAGTACATCCATAAAATCGAAATTGTGGAGATAATTATCAGCGATTATGGTTGAGCTAAAATCTAAGCAATAAACCTTGAGAGAGGCTGAAACGATAATAATCCGTGCTCGTAAAAATGTCTAGGGGAATTGTCGGAGGGTGAGTGTACCAGGGGTCTCGAAAGATCCAGCGCACCAAAGTCCCGGCTCTCTTCCTAGCCCCATTCTCCATCAATGCTGTACTCAACTTCTAGGGCTTTCTCGTATTTTAACGGCTCGGAAACTTGAGTGCGCCACAGAGTAAGAGGTAAAAGCACGAGGGCAAGTCAATTTCAAGCCCGAGGATGAAGAGGAAATAGCAAGAGGTGAATGGGTGAAGGTCCAGAAATTTCGTATTATAATACTCCTCGCATTAAATCCCATCCCATTCACGAGTTCAAAAAAAAAATCACCAAAAGGAGGAATAAATCCGGAAAAATAAAAATGAGAAGAGTTCTCGACTGTGAAAAATTCAATTGAAAGTTCGGATAATGGGGGAAAAGCCCCAATTCTCCTCGATTCAAGCGTTCAAATTTGTTGGCAAATTCATTTCATTTTCGGCGATTGAGTCGTGAGGGATGTATACTGTTGAAAATAACGCTGGATCGATACGAGTGCACGAATTCGAGGGAGAAAATAATTAAAGTCACCCCCATTACAGTCGTAACCTCGGTGTGGGCCTCACCGATTTATCCTTCACACGTACACGTATATCGTAAGCTTTTCTAACCCACACACTGACTCTTAATAATACCCGAAAGCTTCGAGATTCGGATGAATTCTGAAATGTAACCGCTAACCCAGTATGCACACTGGGTTTCAACGAAACGAGACTAGTAATTAACGTAACATTAACAAAACTAGTTGCAGGGAACTTCTGAAATTCACTAATTAAATTTATTGTGACGTTTAGAGAAACCACAGGTATAAACTATTAAAAAACACTTCGAGAACTGCTGTTTTTCCACGCATAATCCTCGTCAAATCGAAGTCAAAACATGTTCCTAAATAAGTATTGTTTGAAATTGACAAATGGCAAGTTGAAAATTGCTAAGAACGCATGGAGAGAAAAGTTGGAGAAAAAGTATCCAGAAAACCGTGGAAAATTTTTATTATAGTTCCGCGGAAATTTCGAGGTATTTCGTCACTGAAAATTCAAAATTTTACGGAAAAATCAATGAGAACTGTAAGTTTAAGTTCAATTATTCCATGGAAATTAATAGAAATAGGAAATTCAGAAAAATACATTGTTGAATTTTGAATTAATTGAAAATCCAGTGTAATTTAGCACTAAATTTGACTGGATTAAATGGATTAAGCACTAAACAGTTGAAAATTTTTATCTGAATTTTCCGCGCCAAATTCCGGAAATTTTTATCGTGCTCCAATTTCACTAAAATTTCAGGAAACCTTGTCATTGAAATGACAGAATTTCGTGGAAGAATCAAACAGAACTGTAAATTTCCGCTCCATTTTTCCCTGAAAATCAATAGAAAACCAGAAAATTCTGGTAAATATATTCTTGAATATTCAGAACAATGACACTGAATGCGATTTAGGGGGGGAAAAAATCATGATATTTCAGATTTCACTGAAAATTCAATACAATTTGGCACTGAATATTCGTAGTACACTGAGAGAATTACGTTGTCAAACAAATCTTGTTTGGGCCAACAAAATCGCTAGTTGAAAATTGCCAAAAAAGAATTTGTTTGGTTCGAATTTGAAAGCCTCACACATGACTAATTGTTCTGCTTTTGACAGCAACGAAATATTTGGCTCAAGAGGCGGATAATTCACACCAGACGGTGCCTTTTCAGGATGAAAATATCTCATATAGAGGAGAATTTATCAACAAATATTTTATCCCTAAGTTTCAAGATTGTTATCATATCGTTATTATTGTTTCATTTAAGGGTTCATTTCTTGTCTGTGATTATTACACATGTTAGACTTTGTTTCGCATAAAACAAAGATTTTTCGGGAGTAAAATACGTATGGGAGTATCGAATAACGAAGGAGTAGTGCTAGAAATGACATTTCTTGCGTGTACACAGAATGCAATTTTTTTTTAACTACTAAATCTATTTTTGCAACAAAAATTTTTCATTCCGGCGCACTCTCTCCATATTTGGCACAAAAAATCCTTTTTTGATAATTTTCAAACAACTATTGTCTTGGCACAAGTAAGACTTGTTTGCCAACTTTGTCATTTTTCTCTCAGTGTAGATTTGAAATTTAAATAAATTAAGGAATTCTCGTCTTCATGCCCCTTCAAATTCCGGAATTTTACGGAATTTTCAGTGATACCTGAAATTTCATGACTGTTTTTCCACTAAATCGCATTCAGTGTCACCGTCCTGAAAATTGGTAGTCAACTGTCCATGAAATTTCATCTTTTTCCTGACAGTGTTCCACGTGAGAATATTTGATGGAGTAGAACAAATTTACTTGAAGGAAACTAACCAACATCTTGTTAATTTCAGGAGTTAAAATAACCAATAAATTATACACGACAGAAGGAAATGATCTGCGAAATAACCATTCGGAAGTATATTGCTGATTTGCAGCAAAAATATACACTGCAAGAGCACTTGTTTCCCACTTGTTTCTGTTAATCTAGTGCTCTTAAAACGAGATGATTCTTGATGAAGATTGAGATTTCTTCCAGCTTGCTCCTCCATGGTCATACTCTCAGGTTACGAAATTGTATTTTATCTCTTACTTCACGATTAGGTGCCCCCACTCCGAAGGGTCCATTAAATTTTTCTCCAAGTAAAAGTGAGGAGCATCAGCAGCATCAGGTGGAGCCAAGCAACGTCCACTCAAAAGGATAAATGCCCTCTGGCACTCAGCGTCGCCGCCCCCATCCTCAGGAAGTTGCAGACTTCTTTAAGAGGATTATCAAAGTTGGTGGCTTCCTGACACAGAGAGCATATCTCTCCCCTCATCACGCCATTCACGCCAAGAGTTACTGGTAATGAAACTAAACGTTTGATTCCAAACTCCAAACTTGTCTTCTCCAATCA